GGGTGATTCTCATTACACAGACAGATACTTAAGTCCAGCAGTAAAGAATAGTGAATAAAAGCTTCTGAACTCATGAGGACTTTCTGAGGATTTCTCCTGCAGGACTCACAAAGGAAATCCTCCGTCCATCAACACAACAACTCCCTCTGTCTAACACCAACCCCCTTACTGTCTCTTTTCCTCTCTGTCCCTCTTTCACCACCAATCACCCACGCGGGGATTAAACCTCTTTAGAGCAACACCATAATCAGGCTGCTCTTTAATCTCTCGTCATTTTCTAAACTCTAAAAATGTTATGGCTGCAGTAATGTCTCTAGCATCGCTCCGAATGATTCCCCTGAACACAACCAAAGCAACTCCCATATAACAGAGTAGTCCAAACATAACACAGCTACAGGCCCCTGATGGCATCTAGTAATCCACACTACACATGAATGTTACTGTAACTACAGCAGAAATGAAATGAGAGAAGTTCAATAAAAGAAGAAAGAAAGAAAGAAAGAAAAACTACATTACACAGGATAATCAGAAGAAAAACATGTTATTGTTGCCATGTAAGCCAGAAATTACTTGCTCAGCTCTCTCACTTATTTGTACAAAATATACTTGCACATCATATTCAATTATTTCGTACTAAATTAGCATCTATTTATTAATGTATTTATTAAAATATCTATGTGCAAAAAACATAAGTGAGAAAGACAATTAAACTTTTGGATTTCTAAATTGGGTTTAGTGCATTAAATTTGCTGTTCTCAAAAACACCACTTTAGAATACAACGAATTTCCTGCTTTATGCATATTTATTTATTCTGCATTAAGCTGGGTAGCTTGATGTTTGTATGAAGAACCCTGTTTCAAATTTATTTTTAAGTCAATCTTTCAGCTAGCAATTTTGAGCATGGCTTCACTGAATGACCCCTCAGAAACTCTGTACCTCTGTTAGACCTGAGTGAAAATGGTCCATTACAAAAACGAACACTCAGTTCAATGCTGTGGAAGGAGGGCACTTTGTCCTTGCAACTCAGCACACAGCACTGAGAATACAAAGGAGCCCAGGTATGTCCTGGGCGGGGCAGGTTTTGATAGCTCTTTCCACAGGGTATAGCACAGGTGATGAGAAATAGTCAATTATTTAGACTCATCATTTAGAGTCTGGACAGTGTCTCTAGGCCAGAGCCTCTGACCCTGTGAAGACACAGACACACATTGAAGAGACAGTCCACACACTGTACAGTATGCTAACAGGCCCTGCTGAAAGTTTCATCGCTGGCTCAATGATTTCTGATTTATTTAAGGAAAGGTCAACCAGAAGAAGAAAGACAATTTCCTGGATAAAAATATACTATATGCTGAAAAACGCATGATGTCCATGAGCAGATGGATTGACAACCAAAGTCAAAACAAAAATTCCTCAACAATAATTACACAATTAAAGGTATTCCACAGCTGAGCATTTCAGTGATGACACCATAAACAGAACAGATACATCATCACTGTTAAAGACTACATACAAACACAGACTAACAGAATACAAAACTGGGCCAAATTTTAAGACATGCATGGTAAATGGACTTGCATTTTTATAGCGCCTTTCTACTCATCCCAACACTCAGAGTGCTTTTACACTCAATGTCACACACACACACACACACACACACACCTTTATACACTGGTGGCCGTGGATACCACACATGGTGCCACCTGGTATTCAGTTCACCTGGTATTCTCACGCAACTATGCACCAGCGGGAGTAATTTGGAGTTCAGTATCTTGCCCACGGATACTTCGACATGTGGATTGAAGGAGCTGGGGATTGATCAAACTTTCGATTCGTGGACAACCTGCTCTATCTCCTGTACCACAGCCACCCCCAAAAATCTAAACCAAGGGTGTCAAACATACGGCCTGTGGGTCAGAAACAGTCCACATACGCTTCTACCTGGCCCACTGGATGACTCTGCACACCTAATATTGATGCACTTGTAAAGGCCCAGACGTGTCAGGCCTGAGGAGCAAGTTAAACAGTGAGTAGTCTACTTAATGTAAAATGCTGCTTCAGAGGCTTTTCCACTCTGCTGAATAGAGTTCACTGAAAAACCAATGAATACTTATTGTGGTCATATGTAAATATACTGAACATTCAGTACAAAATAATCTATCAGACTTCTATCTTTAAACAGTATTAGTGGAACCCTATTGCTAAGGCACTGCCAAAACCTTATATTTGTAAATGCTTTGTGAGGCAGACAAAGACTTAACCTGCTTTCTCAATCGCTTCCACTTAAGTTTGGTGTGGTGATGCCAGCATTAATACACACGGGTGGTAACGTATGAAAACATGAACAAGTGATGACGGTGAGTAGTAGACTGACAGAATGTGGAAAAACATACATATAGACATATTGTTGAAATTGCATTTATTTTTCTTAAGAAATCGCAGGCTGTAAAGTTTCGTAAATGGATGAATGTTTTATAATTGTTCTTTTTTACACTAAAAGAAGGGGAACTTTTGGAGGTGTTGTTATTTATAGGTTATTATATTGTTTTACTGATCTGGCCCACTTGAGATCAAACTGGGCTGTTTGTGGCTCATGAACTAAAATGAGTTTGACACCCCTGATCTGAACATTATAACATCAAAAAATGTCATTACGTGAATTAACATTCACACTCACAGAGTTAGTTCAGATAGATGGATTGAAAACAGACTGACTGACCAAAGTCTGACCCTAGAAAGTTCATTTCGCGACTTGATTGAGATCAGATTAGCTGAGATAAAGAGACAGGAATTGGTCGATAAAAATAATGAGACATCAACGCAACTCACTTTTCCTTGAAGCAGATTCATGCACTTTTTGCACTTTTTGTTCTGATGTTTTTTGTAAACACTGCATGGATGAAGTAGCTTTAATTAAATGGTTAACACATTTATACTGAACAAAGAGGTTTGTAAGGTCTGTAACTGAACACAACCAGTAATCCAACAGTAGAAACAGTGTTTGCTGTATTAGACAAGCTGAGCGTGATGTTGTGTCCTGTTAGGAGTTTAACGTACTGTAACACCACAGTTTAATATACCTTTTAAACAATGCAAATAAATTTGCATAGGCCTAAAAAGGATGTTGGTGTATGAATGTCTCCTTTTGCAGTTAAGAATGAATGTGTGGTTACAGCGCTATTTAAGAATAAGTTTAGTCAGGTACATAAAGAGAGGTTTCTTTTATTTGGGATAAAAAGAGCACTGCTTGCAGTACATGTATGGCCGGTGCCCCAAGTATCAGTAGAGTTAGATAAGCAGGTCAGATCTTTGCATCCCTACGTGTCAGTGTTCACCAGTGAAAATATTCTACAGTGTTACATCTCTATTTCCCTGAGCGCTCATGATGAAACTGGGAAATTACTCTGCAAAAATGCATGTGTAAACAAATTGAGCGGAGATTACAAATCAGCATTATTTCAATTTGCTTACATACAGTAAGAGGCTTATCCCATTAGGAGATAAAGGGGAAAAGTTCATTTATTGGCAAATTATTTGGGGTCTGCTCATTCTATTAAAATGTAGGCGAGGATAAGAAGCAGACGAGAGCACGGAGGAGGGAGGCGGAGAAATTATACAGGAGGAGATCAGCACATCTATCACTGTCGCTGTGCAAAGTTAAAGCTCAAGTGGAAATCACAGAGTTTGGCTCACTTAAGACTTCAAGGACACACACACACTTCCTGTGGACTGCAGAGGTTGGGTGTCCGGGGAAGTTTGAGTGAGACAGGGACTCAGAGGACAGAAAATGTTGTCTGAGACAGAAATGCAGGCCTGGCTTGGCACATTACACCTTGTTCACACAGGAGATAAAAACATCTGTAGTCAAGCTGCAACTGGACTGTTGAGGCCAAAAGTTAACTTGAGGTACATTACTCAGCACTGATCATTAATTTTAACCCTGTCTTTGTGTAAATGTAAACCATCCAGAGAGTCTATATTTTCAACCTTATTTCCATAACAAATTTATGTGTAGATTTATTACCAAGATCTGTAGCAGAATGTAACAAAGTACAGTTTTGAGATACTTGTACTTACTTGAGTATCTCCATTTTATGCTACTTTATACCTTAGTTTTGAAAGTTTTAACAGCATTTTGGCTGCATGAGACTCTTCTTCACTACACAGCATGGAGACCTGGTTGCAGAATAAGCAAGCTCAAATCAATTAGAAGAGTGAAACCTCGACAGATGATGAGATGGATGACATGTGACAATGTGTGGCAGAATCAGTTGCGTTTGTCTAACCCACAATTAAAAGAAAAAGGAGGTTACATAACCACGAGTGGTGCTGTGTAGTGTTTCTGTGTTGCGTAGAGTGGAATTACAAATGACTGTGTGCATCATATCCGAGGGATAATGTCAGTAAATTTAAGTAAAATACAGGCTTTGCTTATCCCGTGCAAATGCACTGCACGAAATACAGATGTGGAGGGGTAATTTCTAAATCACCTGAGGTCCCCTGGTAATACCAGTCCCATGTGAATAGGGCTTAAGATACCTAAAATTAGCTCCACCTTTACCAGCTGCATTATTTAAGTGATGCACACATTAATGCATCAATAGTTATAATCCAGTTATATAATATGCATTATTCTAAATACACAATAAGTGCTTTTACTTTTGGTATTGTAGTAAAATGATGTTTGTACTTAAATGCAGTTATGTTAGATGTGCTTTTATTAGCAGCAGAGTATGTTTACATTGTAGTATTTCTCCTTGTACTTCAGTAAAATATTTGCATACTTATTCCACCTTTGACTGAGATGTAAGAGGTCCTAGAGGTATCCATGCAGAACCATGATACATAGTATCTGGTCCTGGATCAGGGCAAGCCTTGAAACTAACTGGGGTCATGACTACAGTCCTGGAGGAGGTAAATAACTGGTAGTGTCTTTTACAAACTACTCGACAAGAGAGAGGGGGATAAACAGAGGTAAGTGCATGCTGTTGGGACTTACCAGAAACACCCGGTACGCATCTTTTCTTGTGACAGAACCCCAGCACGCATCTGTGTCGTTGTACTTCACACTTCCAGCACTGCAGGAGTGATTTCCACTGCACAGGAAAAAAACCCCACAAACAAACAAACCTTAATGTTTAAATGTTGTTTAATGTTTACCCCTATCTTGTGAGATTTTGCCACCTGAAACTAACACACACTGCAGACTGTCATTATCATTATTTAAATTCAAAGTCTGAACTCTCATTACAACTTGTCATGTAAAATTTCTGAGCGGCAGCAGTTGTGAAAACTTAAAGAGTGTCTCTTAAAAGTAATCACAAACCCGATCATTATTGCGTGACAGACAGAGCTTTAGTAAAATCTTCTGCTTCTGCCCATGCTGCTAAGAAGTCTGCAGTTTGTGCCTTCAGGCAAAGCAAACTGCTTTTGAAGTCTCAGTTACATCTCACATTTATTCTTGCTCGAAGGTTAGCAAGGTTTGGACCACAGTGGAAGAGAATTTAATACGATCAGACAGCATCAGTGTGGTGTGCCTCAGGACAGGATGACGTCGGCCTGCTTTGTCACAACAACAATTAGAAAAAGAAGAAGATGAAATCATGACTGTGACTCTATTATTGTAAAATTAATTAAATGGAACAGGAAATAAAAGAAACAGCGTTTTCAAAAACTTAAAGAGTAAAGTGAAAGTATTAATTACATACTGCCTTGGTTGAAAGATCAGATCTCAAACTATGGAATCACTTATCTTTCTGTCAATGTGCTCCTGTCGCTTTAGAAAAAGAAACTGTGATAAGTGTTTTGATTTTTTTTAAAGATATTTTTAGGGCATTTTTTGCCTTTAATTGATAGGATAGTGAAGTGTGAAGGGGGAGAGAGAGAGAGGGAGAGACATGCAGCAAAGGGCCACAGGCTGGAGTCGAACCCGGGTCGCTACGGCAACAGCCTTGTACATGGGGCGCCTGCTCTACCACTAAGCCACCGACGCCCCATAAGTGTTCTTTTTGTCTGTTTCGTTGAAGTGCATTGTGAACAGAAAAGTTATGAAGAAAGAGGACCATCCAGAACAAAGTTTAAAAGCCAGCATCTGTGATGGTATGGAGGTGTATTAGTGCCTATAACATGGCTAACATGCACATCTGTGAAGGCACCATTACTGCTATATGGTACAAACAGGATTTGGGGCATCATATGCTGCCATCCAGATGACGTCTTTTTCAGGGATGTCCCTCCTAATCCAGCAAGACAATGCAAAGCCACATTCTGCATGTTACAACAGCATGGCTTTGTAGTAAAAGAGTGCAGCTATTAGACTGGCCTGCCTACAGTATAGACTTGACTCCTGCTGAACATGTGTGGCGCATTATGAAGCACAAAAAACATCAACCGAGACCCTGGACTGCTGGGTGACTGAAGTCATATATCAAGCAAAATTGGTAGAAAAAAAATGGAACAATTAGTGTCCTCAGTTCCCAAAAGCTTAGGTGATGTAACACAGAGGTAATCAACTTTTTTTGTAACATGGTGCAGGCATCAAATTCAGAATAAGTGTATATTTCGAAAAACAATGAAGTTTATCAGTTCTAACATTAACCATCTTGCCTTACTGAATGTAGGTGAAAAAGAATTTGCAAATCATTGCATTCTGTTTTTGTTTACGCTTTACACAACGTTTTTTGCAATCAGGGTTGTATTATACTTTCTTTAAAACTGCCTGAAACATTACTGTATGAAACTTTAACCATCCTCATTCCAAAATAATCTCACTACAATAACACTTGAGGGGGCATGGCTATTCTGTGGTCCAGGATCTGAAGGGTTGCATCTGTGATCATATAAAATACCTTATTCTGACCCAGTCTGGCCTAAGGACTTGCAATAAAAATCTGTCTGGAGGGAGGTCAACACGACTCAGACGCCAGAAGCAGTGGTAAGAGGTCAGCAGGCCTAAAGGCCTCTGTCAGCAAAGTTTTATTGTCTTAATCTTGAGTTCAAAAGGTGGCAATAGGACCAAAGTGTCGGGGCAGAGGAGCCGATGAGATAAAGACAGATGTGCAGTAAGTTGCCAAAATGGAAAGTAGCAAATGTTCCAAATGTTCTTCAAGGGGAGCGTCTATATATACCATTTTATGTAACAATAAAAGTGAGAATGAAAGGGCATAAAGTGAGAATATAGGTCTTACCAGGCAACTTCCATGAGTGATATAGGCACAGCTGCTGCGTAGATGGCCAGGTCTCCATACAGATAGACTATGATGCAGATGTAGAACATATTGACGCCAACTGAAAGACAACAATGAAAATATCAAGACATAAATGACTCAGAGATGTGTGACATGTTTGTCTATGTGAAGAAAATGAACAAATTCTTAGAGTAACATGAGGTCAAGAGGTGACGAGCAAACACATTTGTCATGTTCATCAGCCGTCCAAATACTTAATCATGAAATATAGTTGATGGACCATGTGCATCAAACTTGACCACTATGGTGCCATCTCTATTAAAATGCACTCTCATCCACACCTCTGCTCACAACATCCCTCCATCCCTTTTCTAGGACAGCAGAGACACATCTTATTGGTCCAATGAAAAATATTAATAGCATTAATTAAAAAAGTAATCACTCCATGAGGGAAATTTTCCCTGTCGGCCTTTACTCTCCACAGCGACAGGCTCTCCGCCATCTGCCCTTTTCTCTTCATCCACACACTCCGCTGGCAGGCCGCAGCCCCAGCTGCCTTTGCCAAGACAAGATCGAGGGCTTTAACCAGCAGACAGATCATCACAGTGCATCACACATCCATCATGCTCTTGAATTCTCAGAAGGGGGTTCAAGCGTCCAACTGGACCCCTCAGCTAATTCATTACTGCCAAGGAAATTAGAGCATAGAGTCCATTAAAAAGGAATAAAAAGTGACAGATTCACAGCATCACGGGCTACACTGATTCTTTTATGAATTAAAGGCTGACGGTGCCGTTAAATTAGGCTGTGATCGAAGTTGAAAACATAAGGAACTGGCAGCCTAATAAACAATCATTCATCTGGTTGTAAAAAAGCTGTTGATGTTAACTGATACTCTCATGAAGCTGCAACTAACATTTATTGTCATTATCAATTAATCTGACTTTTATTTTCTAGATTAATCGTTTGATCTATAAAATGTCTGACAATATTAAAAACTAGAATTATCGCCTCACGGTTGTATGCCTCCACCAACCAGTCAAGTTTACAGTTTACATTCATATCTGTCTAAACTCATATGATATATGTAGTGAAGACTTTGGTGGAATTTAATAAAAAGGTGTTAAGTGTATGTTGGCGAAATGGAAGTTATCACTACATTGACATGTATGAATTACATAATTTTCCAGAATAATTTCAATATCAGCAAAAGCAATGAGCTTGTGGTGGACTAAAAGAGGAACAGGACAGAACACTTAGTTGTATCCTTGACAATAGACAATGCTTCTAATATATATATACACATATATACGTATATATATATACATACATATATATATACACACACACACACATATATATTCACACACACACACACACACACATATATATACATATATACATATATATATATATATATATATATATATATATATATATATATATATATAATATTGTTTATTAAGGACCTTAAGCAGAGTTTTTTTTAGCAAAGAGGTTGTGAATAAACCAGAAGTGTGTCGCTATATAGAACCAATAATTTAAAGTTAAAGCCACTTTATTGAAGAGCCACAAAACACCAACCCTCTTAGTCCATTCAAAAGTGACACAAAACAAACAGAAAAGTGATGTAACCCATTACGTGAAGCAGAAAGTAATTTTACAAACTATTTTACTAGTTCTATTAAAAAGAGGTTAGATGGATAATATGTAATTCTGAAAGTAATGTCACATTAATCAATACAAGCATTAACTGACACTGAATGGGGCAATCAACAAAGATGACTGCACTGATAAAAGAATTTTCAAGTGTTGTGCTTAAGCCTTGCTTCATTTTAACTTAATCAATATTTTGATCAAAGATAGAAGTGATGTGGAAAAGTATGACACGAAGCATTTCATGAGCTCAAAAAACTTTTGCACTTTTCTTCTTTCTGTCAGCCTCTATTTCTACCTTCGCTAGTTCCCTCTCAGTTTGGCTGTATCATAAGGAACGGTTTAAACTCCAACCTGGAAAATACTTCATTTCTGGCTACAGGTGGTCTTATATAGCTTTAAGGTCCTTCTGACATTTAACATTTGAGAAGTTTTGTATTTGTCAAAGCAAGATTATCAAAAGTATGGTTTTGGTATTGGTATCTTAATTCAATAATGAAATCTCTATAAACAATGGATCACCAATATATATTTTCATGAACCCTTAAAGGCAAAGTACAGTATAGGTAGGTCTGTTCAGACAGAACTGATGAAATACAGGTAGGACTCAACCTGTAATATATAATATGATATTAAAATACAGTCCAAGTTCAGACTGGACAGGTGCATGTTTCAGGGTTAAGGAAGAGGAAGAAAAAATAATTATTTTTAAGTCTTATTCCTCATTTTGCCAGCTGAAGAAACAAATCTACCCTGCATTATGTCCCCTGTGGCACAACATTGGACGAGGCATATTAGTGTCTCAGTGGCACATGGCAGAAACAGGACGTACTGTACTCTGCCGCCGCTGTCAGTAAGCGATAGCAAGGCGAGAGCTCTGCATGACCACAGGGATGCAGGCCTTCACAGCACTGTAACTAATATTTCCCAATTACCCAGAGCCACGGGCAAAAATGCTGCAAAATGGGTCTTCACGTAGGGGCCCAAGCTTTCATGTAGCTGTGTAACGCACCACTATCCATCATCACTTTGCTTCTGACTGACAGCAGACCTGACAACCTCTCTGAGAACAGCTGCAGCAAAAAACTCAGGTTTAACAGTAGGGATTAAATACTGTACATCACATAGTAGGAATGGTAATATATGTTATTTTAAGTATCCTTTTACAAAACATCTGCTTTGACCTCCTGTAATGTCACAAATAACTCACAAGTTACTCCTGTCACACTGATATAAAAAGGATTAATGTTCATTTTAACTTTGAATTTGACCTCATTAACCTTTTTCTCCTTATATACAAATTGCATTTCTTGTGGGAATATCAGAGTCAAATTTTGATGAACTGACATTATAGACTTTCACAAATCAAATCTAAATTAAGCCAGCCCCAGAGGCAACAACACCATTAACAATATGTCTCTAAAAATAAGTAAATAGGACAGTACAGAGTAAGAAATGGACAATGGACAAGCTGTACGATGCAGGTAACAGTGAACAAAGAATCCAAAAACTAAGAAAATTCTTGTTGACCTGAATAAAAGGTGGCTATGTTTGTGTTAGTGTGTTAGATTTTAGTGAATCTGAACTAACCCCACCAAAGTCTCATAACACAAATAAACTAACTGATCGAGGCAGGTGTAGACAAGCAGCTCCCATGTTCAGCAAGGTAAAATCACTGCTTCTGTCAATGATATCTGGCCTAAAAGAGAGCATAGATAAGTTTCACTTCCTCATTGGAATAGGCTGTCTGGCTGGGAAGCTATGAGCATACAACTGAATAAGTGAGACTTGAATTATACCGCACCAGTGTGAGAGTTTGTAATCAAATGTGCTGATAGTTTTGCTGCTGGTAAACGTGGAGTTTACTGTGGAAGTGTGCAAGAAAACGAAAAGTTTTCTTAATTAATTTAATATAACATGGGGAGTAATTGTCATACAAATAGTCATTTAGGGGTTAAAGGATTCCTTAATGCTGAATGCAAACATTAATAGCGGCCATGTCAATGTATTAGACTGTTATATTTTAAAAACAGCCTGATTTGAATTATACAAGTGCATGTCTGATTGACAGAAACAGGCGGTAATAAAAGGGAAGATACAACGTAGCAACCACTTAACACAAATGTGTTTTTCATTTCGTATTTCATTTCTTTTTTAGGCTTCAAGCAGACTTCTTCTTTCAAACTGCTCAATGAAAGCCACTTAAGATGGCAATATTAACTACTTTTTACGACTATAAAAACATGCAAACACACCTTGAACCCAGAAATGAGTTTCCTGCTTAAGCACCAGTCTTACAAAATTTAAGCTACTTCTATTACTTTCTCCCTCACAGCTCCACGAGTGCCTCTAACCACCAGGAAGCAGAGCTGAGGTGTTTAAAGACTGAACTGATTCTAAGTTACAACAGGTCTTTTATTTTGAGAAACAAATCGAGCTTTCATGCAGCGAGCTTCTTTCCTGGGATTGAACTTGTGTTATCGATCTGTTTGGTTGATCACAGTTAGCCATTATAACATACTCCCTGAAATTAAAGTGCTTCTCTTACAAAGCTGACATAAAAAACTCTTGTAGCAGCGGCTTATGGAAAATGATAGGGCTGCAAGCTGAAGCAAATATGTCCATTTATCTTCCCTGTGGCTCAGGCACTCCAGACTTTCATTTTGCTATTGCTCTCAATGCACAAGTATGACATTTAGCTAAAAGTCAGTGAAGTATTAAAAATGGATGTGCCCATGTTTGGCTCTCATTAAAGACAGAAGCCCCGGTTACAGCGGAGTACATTACTATTCTCCGCCATGGTCCTCCGTATGTCAGGGGAGAGAGGGCTCACACTGAAGAAACAATCCTGCTGTTTACACAGCCGCCATGTTAACCGGCTCATCACTTCACAGAGGTAAGAAAAGCTGAGACAAGATGCTGATGCAAGGACAGCATTCTGTTAGTCTCTTTGTCGGTGTGACTTTAGCCAAAGTCGTCTTCTAATCAACTTTCAAATCATCAATGTGAAGGTTATAGAAACACCTTTCCACAGTGGTGCAGATAAACCAGCCCCCATCAACATTCCTGTCAGTGGCTGCAGGTCAGGCTGATACGATACTCATGGCCTTATTCCAAGCCCACCTTGCCGCTGCTGCCATGTCAATTTCAGTCCGGGAGGAAGTCAAATGCCCTCTAAGAGTGCCTCTTCAACAGCAGGGGAGATGCCTTTTAATTGCTTGCAAAGGTGCAGGACAGAGAGACAGCGTGCAGTCATGCCTACGGTTTATTATCTGTGAAGTGAGGAAGTGGTATTAAAACTGTTTTAATGTCCTGTAACTCGGTGGATTTGTTTGCACTCTTTCTTGTTATTTTGCTGCTGCTTGAACGCATAAAAAAAGAGCTGAATACAATTGTTGGTCCTGTCTGTGGTTGCTCTCTCTTAATTTAGGTTTGCTCTGCTTT